TCAACAGCCAATAAGTTTGGGAACCATCGTTTAACATGACCTATCACGTAAATTAGATCACAAGTTGTTTTTAAACGGACAGGTAAGAGACACCTGCGCTCACGAATAATAAAACTAAAACTCGTCACAACTCAGGTTTGTCATTCATAACATCTGAGACATGAGAGAATGAAATGTGATCCTCAGACGAGTCAAAACTAAATCAAATAAAATCATGGATTTAAAAAAACATCATCCCAGGGACTGAATTTTTAGGATAGAAGCTGTCCCTCTGCCTTGTTGTTCAGGCCTGAGAAAAGGGGGTGGAAGGGGGGGGGGGGGCAGTTTATGAGCTAAGTGGGTGGGGTCTGTCATAATGTTCTATGCATGGACTCATTAATGCTAAATATCAATACAACAACAGTGATATCTGCAAATTTAGCTATATGATTTCATACAGGGTAGACTGAACAGGAAGGGGCTTGGTACACATCCTTGTGGGGAGTTTGGATTGAGAACAATGGCAGTGGACTAGACACACTGTGGTCTGCCAGTCAAGTGATCCGAAACACAGTTGTGCATAGACGGTTTCAGCTCCAGCACGTGTTGACTACCTGTTGAATGTTGGTCTTAAAACACTGAACATGGATTTCTTGAAAATCCACAAAGAGAAATCTGGCATGAGCCCCAGGTGTCCATAAGTCAGAGCAAGAAGAAGAAGGTGCATCAGGCACAGACCGGTTCCCCCTGTATGCATATTGATGGGGTCCACAATGAAGCCAACTGAACCTTGATAAGAGCCAAAACCAGCCGTTCCAGGGATTTTATAGCAAATGAGGTGAGAGCCACTGGATTTTGCACCCAAATGTATGGGGACTGGGACAAAAGTGGACATCTTCAAACAGAGCTTGGGACAGAGTTGAGCATGCCGTCTTAGAACCTGACCTGCCCTTTTGATTATGGTTCTGAGGTGAATCCTGAATCCATTAACACACATACAAAAGTTACCTTTTCCTTTAAAAACCAAAAGAAATGGTATAACCCATGCACTTCCATCATTTACAGTTGGTTTGTAACTCACGTTAATAATATAAGTTTATTTTTGACCGGTTGAGTGTTTAATATAAATATGCTATGTGTTGTCATCATTACGTGTTTCTATACAATGATGAAATTTGTGCTCTGCGTTTAACCCATCACACGTGAGACACACCCAAGTGGAGCGGCTATTTTAGTGTTGGGGATTAGGCGTCTTTCTCGAGGACAACACAACATGTGGGCATGGCGGGGAGTCGAACCTGCAGGTTCCTGGTTCCAAGTCGGCTGCCTTAACCACCGCTCCACAGCCTCTCCCGTCAACCGTTGAAAAATAAAGTCGTAACGATTTATTCAGGTATTTATTTTGCGCGGTTTTTTTTTTCTTTCTTTAAATAGAAGCGAAACACGTCACACAGGCAAGCCTTTAATATCTATTCTTTGTCGTCAACATGAATGTCGTGAATGAGCACATGAAAAGGGAAATACGCCTTCGTATTGAAAAACCTGAACAACCTGATTTATTAAAGACTTAAACAAAGCAGAGGTGGGAGGATAAGGGAAGGCATTAAACTAACGCAGCGTTTCTCTTAGGGTTTCTGGCGTTGGGGGTTATGTTTTACTTTTAATAACAGCAATGAATTTAACATATGAATAACATAAATAGTACTTAAATGGCTGTTACTATTGCGGCCGCAGGCGTGTTTAAAAAAACTTCTTTTTTTTTATTTTGAGTGGGTTGAGACGTTTGTTCATACGCGCAACAATGGACACATTGGCGCATGCGTGTGCGTCATGGAGTTTGTTGGATACACATTTAATAGTCAAATTTTAGATAAAAGACCCAGTGAGGTGTCGAGCCAGGGGTGGTGGATGGGCGATGTTTGATTTTGGTGTCTCCCATGGCCGCTATGAATTGGGAATGTGCAACGTACAGGTGGTTTTGGTTTTTTTTACATGCCATGACCTTCGTGGGGGATGCGAGCAGTGCCAATGGGGCATGGGGCACATCATCAGTAGGGTAAAACTAACCTGTCTCACGACGGAATAAACCCAGCTCACGTTCCCTATTAGTGAGTGAACAATCCAACGCTCGGTGAATTCTGCTTCCAATTATAGGAAGAGCCGACATCGAAGGATCAAAAAGCGACGCTGCTATGAACGCTTGGCCGCCACGAGCCAGTTATCCCCGTATAACCTCCCTTGGATAATGCTAAAACCCAGCAACGAGAAGAGCAGCCATTGATACACGCTGTTCTGAGGAATCTCATCAACTGGTCCCCCTTGGAGAGGAGGACGCAGGAGCCCACCCACAACCAGGACAGGAACAAAGACTCCAGTCTGTTTCTCAAGCTGCATGAAACGCAAACACTTACAGTCCTGTTGGCGTTTACGTTCAGGCATCCCTCTCTCTCGTACAAACTCTTACTATTCACGCCTCTCTATATATAGAATATCCACACAGAACACAACACGGCCTTTGACTGGACTTTCCAACACTTGAAGACGTTTCACAGTAAAGTCACTAAACTCTTAACACAAAGTCTGATTGAAAATGTGCTAACCGATGAGATTGATATAAGTCGCCCTGTTTGAAATTCAGATTTTAAACCACAATTTTACAATCGTAGCCAAAGTGACTGAGCCCGACCCTGACTGAGAAGTGGATCCAACGAGATATTTTTAATCGGTGCTGCGTTTGGAAGAAAATGATGAGGTGGGTGGGCTGAAACTTGAAATTTTGACCACTGGCTGTCACCACATCCCACACACAGGACCTGTAATTATTCTAAAGCATAGCTTGTATGTTCTTCATGACTACACAGCCTCTGATTTCCAACCAAGCATGGACGAATAAAAAAAAAGAAGCCTTGCGCAAAAGATTAAATAAAGATGACAATAGAAAGGTAGACAGCTAATGCTATAACTCTTAAAAGTTTTTGCTGAACCATTTTAGCCTTGGTGTCCTCAGGCTGTTTCTGTTTCTATTTTCTACCGTACATGTCGCACTGCTCTACAGGTTGCATCAGTCCAAATATGTCTAATAAACTGGAAAAATCCATAAATACGTCGCTTCGCCGTATACATCCCATCTATTATACGTCACCGCTAATGCGTTGCGGTTGTTACGCGTCACCGCTGACAACCCAGAGATGTGGGACGGTGTTGTGCCAAGATTGTGTCATTAATAGACACTTTTACCTATTACGTGATACAACGGCATACCTTACTACTAGAGTGCCATCTAGTGGCTGGAAATGGTAGTGTTCAACATTTTCAGTCAGAACGAATGAAAACGGTCATATCTCAGACAAAAATTGGTTTATAAATATGGGAAAAAATCCATAAATACGCTGCTTCGGCGTATTTGCAGGGCATGTAAATTATGCAAAAAAAACCTGCGACTTATACAGCGAAAAATACAGTACTTATGGGGCAGATCTGGTTGGCAGACTGAAGAAGTCCTCTGGATGGAAAATGAAATGTTTCTCCCTTAAAGAAACTGATCCAGATTAAATGATTTAACTTTTTTGTTGTTGTCTACCTGGATGATTGAGCCTACAATTTTTTTTTTCTTCTAAAGTGTAAGGTGGATAATGTCTGCATTTTTACTGAATATTTGCTGCTTACATCAACTAAACTTTTGGTAGCAAATCCATTATTTGATTGATTCATTAAATTAATTAAAAGAGTTGAACATTTGCTTTCTAAAAGCTCAGTTTTGGGCCTTTGCCAACTCCTGATTGAACATACTGTCACTTTATTTAACTTCCTAATGTGAGCAAGCATCTTAAATTCACCTTTTTAGCATTAATTAATTAAAATCAAAAGAGTAGACGTGTGTGAATTTGTTCCTGGCATTAATAATTCAAGCTGAGATTTGAGTATTGTCTACTTGTTCGCAGGCGCAGCCCTCTGTTTAATTCAGTGTTGTGGTTTGATGGAAATCGTAGCCTCCAGTAGTGATTAAAGCGGCTCCTCTCGCATGAATTATGGAACTTCAACACGTTTTAACTCGTCTACGATCGGAGCGTGTTGGCGTCGACGTCCTCAGAAGTGAAGGGGAACACCACCGTGTCTGCATCTCGGCTGATCTGGTCTTTTTGGTGTCTGATTTCTGAGCCAGCTGTTTTTACACTCGGTGAACCCTGCTCGTCGCACACCAGCAGCCTCACTCTTTCCATCTCACACACACACTCCTCTCGGCTCCCAAGGATACCACAGCAGAAAAACATCTGGAAGACACACTTTTGAGTTACGCAACTGGCTTTTAAACGCAAAACTTCAGGTTACAGAGGAAACTCTTGTGCGTCATCTATCTCCATCTTTACTCGTTTATCCAATTACATTACCATTCTGCAAATAGAAGATATACAGCGACACGTTGTTTTTATGGCCTGATAATAGAAAGAGAGGCATCTGTTCTGATAAATATACGTTTGTACATGTTATCCTATACACTTCACACGATGAAACCCTTGAAATGCTGCTTTTGATTAGATGCGTAAATGTAATTAAAACTTTTTTAAATTATGGGTGGAAATCAGTGACAGAAAATAAACACCAATATCAAAATCTGCCTTTTATTTATAAAACGCCTTCGGGTTAGTTCTGTAGTTGAATCACTTCTTTTTTTGATCATGGGCAACCATAAATATATATTTTATGGGTGACTGCTGTTTAAATTGCAAATAGATGGTGTGTCCCATGTGCATGGTGGAGAAATATCCAGCATCATATAATGAAAATAGACTCATAAAGCATTTAAATCATGAACCTCAGAGCAGATTGTGGGATAACACCTCCAGAAGAAGCCAGATGATCAGACAGAGCTGCTCTGGACCCCAAGGCTCGGTTTTGTGAATGGAGAGCAGGGTATCCCTTTTCTCCTACTCCTCATCAAAGCGAGATGTTTCTCAGCCTGTCACCAGGCCCTGATCGATCCCTGGTGGAGCCTCCTGTCGGATCAATAATCGATCACTTACATTGGTGTAGAGCACAGAGTCGATGTCCCCGGCCTCGGACAGCTCGCTGAGGTTCCTGTCCCAGTGGAGAAACTGTTCACTGCTGTCCAGGATCTCCATGATGTCCTCCTCCGGCCTCCTTGTTCTCGGTTTATTTCCTCCCGCAGCGAAACACACCGAGGTTCGTGTCGCTCTGAAGTCTCCTCCAAACTCAAAACTTGGCGACAACTTGTGTTTCGGGTCGGGAAAACAAGTCAAAGCTCAGAAACAAGTCCAGCTGGTTCACGCGCGAACACGTGAACGCCTCATCGGTTGGATTGAATAGATGTAGTTTGGAAAATGTCAGCGCTGTTGTCGCTCATCTCCACTCTGGTTCTTCTTGTGTCCGTTTCCCAAAAAGCTTCTCCGTCCTGTTTTCTTTCCTCCTCCTGAGCAGTCCAGACACTCAGGAATGTGTGGGCGGAGTTAAGCTAGCGCCGAGACAGGAAATTACGGGGGAAAATGTCCAAAAAGTCAACAAATATAAGTGTAACTAACCTTCAGACCGTGGCTATACGAGAAGAATCAGCTAAATACTTTGTAAAGTTAAATATGAGACAGAAAATGCGTCGTGGATAATCTTATTAGGTGTTCGGGACTTGATTTTTTTAACTGTTTACGCTAAAAATGCTAAACTTCCGGTCACTAATTTCAAAATAAAACACTCTAAATAATGAGTTCAGCAAGTTTGAACATGTTGGTGCAAAAATGCCGCACTTCTTCACCCGAGTCAAATAAAGTAAAATATTACAGAATATGTATGATTTAAAATAATTTCAACTAATCTATGGATTAATACTGCAAATGATTATTATTTATTCCAGCAGTCATATAAAACCTGTCAAACCCTCGTATGCATGTAATAGGAATCGATTGATTGAACTTAATAGGATAGCTCTAACAAGGTTGAGTCGGGTCCTCTGGATGGATTCTTCTTTGTTGAAACGCCTTCAGTCTGAGGAGCTGCAACAAACTCACTTAATAAATAGCTCCTTCTCATAGTGGATCAACCAGTTTGATGGTGACAGCCAAAACTAGTTGTTCACATGCAAAAGGAGGACCACCAGCCTAACAATTGATCGTTGGTGCTCTGATGGCCGCTTGCTATTCACAGAGGGCTGTGTGATACTAGCAACTCCATGCAATAACAGCATTGTAAGAAGGTTGCAATTGGACACAGGGGCCTCCGCCCGTTTAACAATGGAGTTTATTTTCACAAAGATGGTTTCCTTTACCCCGGTTTCAAACCAAAGCTCCTCTCTATCAAGGATGTGAACATCTTCATCCCTGAGTGACTGCTGGCCTGGAGATGAGTGTAGACCGCAGAGTCCTGGCCTGATGATTTTGCCCTTTTGTGCTGGGCCAGCCTTTTGGCCAGTGGCTTTTTAGTTTCTCCAATGTAAAACTGATCACCCTCCTGACACTGAACAGCATACACAATATTACTCCGTTTGTGCCGGGGGACTGGATCTTTGGGATGAACCAGGCTTTGCCGTAATGTATTTTGGGGTTTAAAAGCCACTGGGACATTATGTTTAGAAAATAAACGTCTCAGTTTCTCGGAAAGTCTTGTAAAATACGGAATGACCACTTTTGTTTTTCCAAGTAAAAAAAAAAAAACAGTGATACAAATAGTATTTCTTGTTCTAGAATCAGACCGTTAAATAACATTTTATAAAATATTTTAATTAGTCTGTTTAAAAATATTCAAACCGTTGTGAAAAAAGTTTTTAAAAAAAGTAAAACAGAAATACACCGAAGTACCTTAATCATCAATATTAAAAATATTTGCTTTTATTCTCTAAGTCATGTTACTTGTTTCCGGTCGGACATGTATTTTTGTTCCCATTCAGTGTTTCTTTAAAATGAATCCACAGGTTACCAACGTTCACAACCCCGCCCATATTCAAAGCTTAACCAATCAGGTTAACCCAAATATTTAAAGCCCCTTGAACAGTGCAGCTCCGCCCACTCTCTCTTAACTGACAGATGAACAAGCCAATCAGCGAACGCTTTGAATCGTTGCAGCCAATCCCTTAAGGCCAAGACTACCTTGTGTTCTATCCCGCCCCTTGTTGCCAGAAAAACACCCTAAAATGTTTGTGAAAAATATTTACCAATTCAAAAGCACTTAAATATACAAAACAGTACTACTTTATGTAACCTCGAATTACCTTGTTTTATGCCTAATTTTACAGCTTCAATTATTTTCTTTAATTTTCTATAACCCATGTTTAATTTTCAGCTAAATATACATTTAATTGAAAGACAATTTGTTGGTGGGGGGGGGGCAAAGAAATCTGTATTGAAGACATTTTTACACAAATGCATGTGAGCTGAAAGCAACCATTCAACTCAGGAAGGAAGTGAAGAAATTAAATGATAAAGCTACAAATGAAAAGAAAACAAACAAACAAAAAAAAACTTGTCCCCTTTACATCAATTTATCAAAAATGTAAAAAGTAAAACAAAATGCTGCAGCAGTGAAACTGACTTTGACAGAGCTTCCTGTAAATTTGCAACACACTTTTAGCCCTCATGTTTCAGTCAGCCATTTGTTTCTGCAGCTTAGCAACTTTCAGTCAACAATTCCCTTGGGGTCAAACCCAAAGATAGATCAAGAATAAATTCTTTCAGGTCAAAACTTTGTTTCGTTAACTTTTCTTCTGAAAGCAACGCAACTAAAACAGCTGTTACATGTTGACCCTAATGTACACAAGTGATTTACAACAGCCCTGACTGCAAACAATAATTAGTTTTATCCTTTAACCTTTTTATCTCTATTCAGCTGTATTCTTACAGATAAGACAGAAAGTCATACAACTTCAAAACATGTCATTCAAACGTGCACTTCCTGTTGACAAGCCCTCCAAGACAGAATCAGACAGAAAGTGAGTTTAGGATCATTTTTAACAAAAGTTATGTAGTTGTTAAATACACTTCCTGTAAAAGTTTACGAGCAAAATAAAAAGGTATAATTAGCATTATCAAAAAAAAAGGAAAGATTAATAAGTATTTTTGCTTTTGCAAAAGTGGAAATGGTGAATATAAACCATAAAACTGCAGGAACACAAATGAACAGCATAACAAACCCTGACCTATAACACTTGCTCTTACAGAATTTGAATTTCCTCAAAACAGAGCTCAATTTTTTAAAACCTCACAATTTAAAAAGGAAAACGAAACAAAATGAACAAATTATTACAGTTTCAACACATTTTTAACTATTTTTGTTGATGTGCACAGAGCACAACCGGTGAATATTTAGAACCAGAGCAGCTTCCTTCTGCTCCTCTTGACGTCTCGTGTCTTCATTTTCACCAGCAGAGGGCGCCAAAGTCAAACATGATCTTATTCTGTCACGAAAGAGTCTTCAGTACAAAGAAAAACAAAAACTAGAAGTTATCCTGTTGATAGGATTTCAGATTTTGTCTCTGTTGTCGCTCAGAAACACTATATTCTCTAAAAGGAGGAAAAATAATACAGAATCAGGTGATTTTTACAGTTAGAGGAAAGCTGTGTGGATGAATTAACTATTTATTCTGACCTGCAATAATGGTTGTGGCCTGACGTCTCACTTGGTTTTTATCCATGTACTCTCCGTAATCCAGTTTGCCCTCCACTAGAATCCTGGCCCTGAAAGAGATTAAAATAATTGTTATTCACAAAAAAAATTGTATTTCTACATTTTTTATGCAAGGATGTAACACACCATATAAATTCTGTTTACGAGTATTTAGAATCGGAGTTGGGCTGAAAGTAGGTGGCAAATCATAGTTAAAGATAAATATTGCAATTTTAATATAAAAAAAAAAAAGAATTATTATTTTTTAAAATATCCACCCAATTAAGAGCAAAACACCTGTGGGCGAAAACAAAAATTATATTAATGAGGTTAAATCACGAAATCAAAAATTAAATTTAAACAGAGCTGTGTTTTAAACGATCATCTGAAAGTTACGATATTTCAAATTTATACAAGTACATATTTGTATTAGATTTTTTTTATTTATTTAGGTCTTATACTCGATGAAGTTCAGCTTTAATAATAATAATAATAATTTATTCAATTTGTACTGCACTTTACATTTTACAATCTCAAAGTGCTACAACATAAAATATCTAAAGAGAATAAAATGTGGACTCAAAAAGGAACAAAAAAATGTTAAAAGCTAAAAAACTAACTAAATAAAAACAGCAGGATTAAAATACTTTTAAACACTATAAAATCTTTTAAATACGAAGGTCTTCGGTCCTTTCTTAAAAACTTTCTGTAGTGTGGGGCATCCTTAGATGGTCAGGGAGACGAGGAGCAGCAGAGCAGAAGGCTCGGTCACCCGTGGTGCACAGTTTTGTCTGGGGAGGGTGGAGCTCGTAGGAATTTGTGGAGCGGAGGGATCGTGTTGATGTCTGAGCATCTTTAAGAGTGTGGAGCATTGCTGTGAATGGATCGCTGGGTGAGTAAGAAAACCTTGTACTCAATACGGAGCAAGAGATTTAAGGATTGGGATGACGTGCTCATGTTTCCTTTGCTTCATCCTACCTACCATCCTACCCTGAATGCTAGAAAACGCCTTGTATCTGTGACTTTCCTTCCCTCAATTGATTTTGGTGATATTATTTATATGAACGCTCCTACAAGAACCCTGCAGATGTTGGATGCTGTCTATCATGGTGCACTAAGATTCATAACTGGCTGTGATTATCGTACCCACCACTGCACCCTGTATTCACTGGTTAACTGGACATCATTAACTTCACGCAGACTCTCTCACTGGTATATTTTCATCTTTAAATCACTTCTTGGTCTGCTGCCTTCAGACATCTCCTCCTACATGTCTCTGCGTGAGTGCAGCTACGGAGTGCGCTCTCAGGACATTATTACCTGCAGTGTTCCCTCAATGAGGACTGAACTAGGCAAAAGGGCCTTCTCCTATTCTGCTCCTCTTTCCTGGAATATCTTACAAAAAGATTTGAAGCTCGCGACCTTGACCTCTCTAAGTGTCTTTAAGAATCTGTTGGACTCCTGGCTGGGTCCAATGCAGACATGTTCCTGTTGTTAGTTTTCTACATTTGTCTTGGAATCTAGCTGTTTTTTTTTTGTTACCTTTTTCCTTTTAGCCATCCTATTTGTTAAAAAAAACTGTAGTATGAGTTTTTATAACTGCTTATTGTTGTTGCTGTTGTCCATTGTTGTCATCTTTCTTTGTTGAAATCAGGTCTCTCTTGTAAATGAGTCCTCGAGGCTCAATGGGATTTACCTGTATAAATAAAGGTTGATTGATTGATTGATCCTGGCTGCACCGTTCTGAACATACTGAAGTTTTTGAATGTGCCTTGATGGAATTCCATTTAAAAAATTTAAAAAAAAGTGCATTGCAGTAATTCAGTCTTGAGGAAACGAAGGCTGATTGAGGCTGCCACAAGTTTTTCCAGCACTTTGGACAAAAATGGAAGGTTGACATGATGGACTGGATCCAAGGTGGGCTTTCTAAGAAGAGGTTTGACGATTGCCATTTTCAAGGTAGGTGGGACAAAACCCGTTTGGATGGAGAGGTTTATCACAGATGTGATCAAAGGACTGATGAAAGCGACGTTTCTTTTCAGCAGAGCAGTGGGGAAATGATCGATGGCACAAGAAGAGGATTTCATTCCTTTGACAATAGCGGTCACTTCTTGCTCGGAGACCGATGTAAAACATGGAAGACTTTGAGGATCGTCATCCTGGGGCTGTAAAACGGTGCAGGTGAAACTAACAAGTCTGCTCTGCCCCCTGCTGATAAAACTGATAACTGCAGGGTATTTAAAAGTAAAAAAAGACTAACTAAATCAACTTTATAGATTGAGTTGCTACTTTTTAGACATATTTGTGATAAAAAAATATATATATTTAGTCAACTTCTGTGTTCAAAATCTACAACTATAAATGCATTTCTGCTGTATGACTCGTGGCGTTGTGTTTCTCGTGTTAACTTTTAATGTGAAGATGTTCAAGGCTTTAGAAAAGCACAACTTTGACAGCTCTGTGCCGTTATGAGGGTTTCACAATAATTTTCACAGGAGTTTTCTTGTAAAAAGTAATAAAAACACACGTGACAACTAAGATTATATTCAAGTTTGGACAAGAACGTAGTATTACACAATACCAATACTCAAATTTTGTTCCTCTCAATCAGTCACTGCAAGTATTGCAAAAATATATACGTACTGTGTGTAGAGTGAGCTAAATGCTTAAGATTCACAATAAAAAAAAAATTCTGATGTAACTTTTTTTATTCATGTAGCATTATTGGAAAATCTAATCAGTTCTGACTGAATAAAGACAATTGATTTCTTTAAACTCGGATCTAATCTAATCTAATAAAACATTCCTGCAGATCTGATCAATCACTGCTTCATGTAGTAAAACCACAGAACGTCTGTTTCTCTCAAAAGTTCAGTGAGTTTTTACCCAATATATCCACAACTCTGATTAACCAATCAGATCATTCTTAAATCACCAGCAAAGCACAGAACCCAGTTTAATGAAGACTTCAGCATCAGATACTGCAAGTGGCAGCTCAGAAACACTGACGTTTCAGGATTGGTACGATACAGTTTTACGTGAACTATGACTCGTGAAACAAACCCCGCTGTCCGTACCCTTTCTTGACGTGCTGATAGGCGACATCTCTCAGACCCGGTTTGAACACCGAGATGCGATGCCACATCGTCTTCTGACTGACGTCACCTGAAGCGAGAAACAGCAGCTGGTCGCACAAAACACCGACTTAACATCTGAAAATATTCCTAACTCACACTGAAATCATTCTGGTTTTAAAGTACCCCCCAAGCTCAAGAACCGCTGCTTTGAAAACCAGCGGCGCCAGCATCCATCGTGAGTTCAAACTCTTTCATGACATCTAGCGGTGCAAACCAGTACTTGATCCCAGCTTTAACAGGAAAGTTTACCATAAATACACATTTAACTAGAGAAACCTTCAGATGTGCAACCTGTTGAGTTTAGCTCTCCGTCTCCAGAGCGCCACATCTCGTTTGTCGCCAGTGAGAAGATGGTGACGGGGTTACGACCGTCCACTTGTCTCATCACCGGGTCCTGACCAACCCGTCCCAACAGCTGCACCCGGTTTATCGCTGGGGAAAAAAAAAACGTACAGCGTGAGGATTTTATGATCGCACTGTGGAGGAAAAGTCCCTTCACTGTCCATTTTTAAAACTCTTTTAAATGCTCTGCACTGTTTATATTGATCTTAATGTTTTAACTGTTGTATTTTTATGCGTTTAAATTTGATTGATTTTGTGTGTACAGCACTTTGGTTGTTTAAAGGGCTTTATAAATTAAGTATTATTATTAATATTATTAACAACTTCAGTGTGGAGCTGAAGAGTTTAAGCAAAGTCCAATACATTAAAATATTAAAGAAAGACGGGAGACTGCGATGAAGTGAAAACTCAAAGCAATTACTTAGTTGGCTCTTTAGATAAATAACGTTATTAACTGACTTTTTATGTATATGAATGTTTCTGTTCAGTGTCCTGAGATGACTTCGGTTGTGACTTGTTGCTATATAAGTAAAATGAAATGAATTTTTATGAAATATAAGACAAGTTACCACGATGTTGTAAGCTTTAGAAATAGTACGACTATTATAAATGTCTATTAACCCTTAATAATAATAATAATAAATGAAATTAAAAATCTTTTTAAACTTGTGTTTATCGTCATCGATGTAAGTAAGTTCCTTTGGGCTGCCCACTTCTTCAGGTCATCGCAGCGAGTGTACTTACATGAAAGATTTGAACATTTGTTTTACACCACATGCCCTTCCTGATGTAATCTGGGCTCAAACCAGCAACCCCAGGATTACAAGACCACAGCACTGACCGCCAAGCTACCGCAGCTGTTGTCATGATGAATGTACTGAGTTAAAAAAAAAAAACAACTAATTTCCCTTCGGGACAATAAAGCATATTTTATCTTCGTCTCTCTCTGCACTGTGATCTTCCAACAGAAAACGAGAGAGGGAGGGTAAGAAACATTTAAAGTGATGAACTGAGGCTCATGGAAAGTCCATGGAAAAAGACTAGACTAACACACTTAAAACTTATTTTATGCTCAAAAAGCTATACGACAGCGTAAAACAAAGACAAGAAAATTGATTTGTTTGAATCAGACGTTTTGATCTTACATCTTTCCAGGATGAGGCTTGTGTCTGTACTCCTGTTTCTCACCATCTGTCTGAAAATCTGTAAAAGGTCAGACACAGAAACATCAAAGTACTGCGCCTGAACGTATTTTAATTGTACAAATCCAGAATAGTGTGCTTCTGGAGAGTACAACTGAGCTTAAAGCTGTTTGGAATTACTAAACTAAAGTGAACATATTTATAAGTTGGCTTGGCTATATATTATTATTATTATTATATTTATTTAATGACCAGATTCTTTCTTACCTGTGCTGATGCACTTCTCAACATCTTATCTGCGCTGCAGGCAGCTGGGTCCAGACAAATGCAGCAGCAGAAGTTTCCAACACTGACCTCGTCAACAAAACATAAAATATTAAATAATGTGTTTGCTTTGAACACGCCACCTTTTTTGATTTTGACGGTGCAAACTATATTCATTTCTTACATTAAAAACAAAATTAGTGTGAATGTATATTTTACACTTTCTTCCACAGTTGAGACAAAAATGACACAAAACGCAACATTTTATAAACAAGGAGCAAAAAAACAAGAAGCAAGATGATCGAGTGTAATGCTCCATTCTTATTCTTTCAGCTGTTCCCTCCACCACTGTCTTGTAAACTTTTCCTTTGACCTTTGCTGACACACTTTTGTCACAAATCACTCCTGAAACTTTTCTCCATCCACTCTTTTTTCACCTGTGTAGCACTCCCCATTTTCCTGGACAGGTGACCGCAAGTCCCTTTAGTCCTACACCTTTGTGACCTCTAATGTGCAATAATCTAAGTGAAAGCTCTAAGGTGACAAATAAAAAAGACTAAACTGTTCTGCGTTTTAAAATTAAAGAGCAAAAACTAACAAAACCTGTTAATTTACATGGCTGTTATTTGAAAAAGCCTTTAAACGTGATACAGTCAAAGCCGTATGATAAGACGTTCAGAAATCTCCCGCCACTAAATGTTAACACATAAAATACTTAAAATGTGGGAACAAACATTATTTTTGAGTTTTCAGGTTGAAAATTACTTAAAATAAATATATAGTTTTAAAAAAGCGTCAGAACGTGCTACTTACAAAGGAAAGAAGCTGGGAGAAACCTCAGCACATTTACCACTTCGAAAAGCTCCTGATACTCACGCTGCTTCCGGTCCGTCTGTATTAAATGTCCGTCTGAAATGTTTCAAATCATAACAGTTCCGTTTCACAAACTTTTAGAAGAAGAAAAATAAAATTACATAAAAAAGTTACTATTCAAAACAATTACCTGTAAAAATAAAAAAATAAAAAATGCATGTTAGACTGATTTGTAACTCTATATTGTCCCTAGGTGAGAGTGAAAGGTTGTTTGTCTCTTGTGTCCCTGTGATGGACAGGGTGTCCCCCGCCCCTCGCACAGTGATTGCTGGACATGGGCATCGGCGACCCCCGTGACTCAAAACGGAAGAAGCGGGTAAAAGATAATGGATCGATGAATTTAGATCTTTATAAAATCGTGAAAAAAAATGTATACGTATGGTCGGATCTCTATGGGACGATTATCAGTCAACGTCACTTCCTGGTATACTGCGCATGTCTGGTGCAGTAAGAAACCACGATCATGATTTGTTGCACTGTAGTTTGCAGTAACCGTTTTGATAAAAACAATAAAACGCGCAGGAGGACACAGTTCTCCTATGCTTCTCTCAACTGTAATGCTGCACAGGTGCTCTTTTTCACAGGTCTGACCAGTGTCGTCTTTGATTGTGTCCTGCAGACAGGTGCAACAGTGTAAAGGTTGTGTATAGCTGTCCGACACTGGAGGACCATCTATTGGCCATTCTCGTGAAACTGCGTTTAGGGCTCACCAATAAGGAGATTGCGTTCAGATTTAATGTTACTGAATCAGACATTTCCAAGATTTTGAGAAGTTGGCTCCCTGCCATGTCTCAGACTTTGAAACCTTTTAAAGTGGCCAAGTTAGGATGCCATATTAAAAATGCCAAAATGTTTCACACCTAAATAGCAGCATTGTCGGTGCATTACTGACTGCACTGAGATTTTTATTAACGGACCCAAAAATTTCAGCCAGAACCCAAACCCATTCCAATTATAGGAGCCATAACACAGTTAAGTATTTGGTTGGCATGTCACCTGCAGGAGCAATTACATTTTTGTCTGCAGGATGGGGTGGACATGTTTCTGATTAACAACTTACCGAGTCTGGATTTTATGACGTTCTGCAAGTAGATGAGGTACTAGTGGTTTTACAATTAGGGTTGCGTGTCATGGTGCTACTCTGAGAATCCCTCATTTTACCAAAAGGAAAGAAAAGCAGCTGTCTGCTCAAGAAGTGGAAACATCAAGGCGTTTGTCCAATGTTAGAATACACATTGTAAGATTAATTGGTAGATGGAAAACTTTCAAAATTCTTACTACCGTTATTCCACTGTCACAGGTAGACCTATTAGACATTGTAATTGTGTGTGTGTGTGCAGCGTTAACATTTGCAAAAAAGTATAGTCCCTAGAAAATAAACTGTAAATAACTTGAAGTATTCAAGAGTCAAGGATAAAGTTTTTGTTTGCACATAAATTAAAAAGGAACATTTTTTTAAGCGCACAGTGATAGGAATGAAAACGTTAATGTGAAAATTAAAAAAAATAATTTACAGCTCACAGTGCCATTCTTTCCGCTTTTACTTTTGCACGAGTCAAAGATACATCAAAAACCTGTGTTTTTTGTATACCAAAAAAAAAAAAAAATGTGCACAGAGTGATAAAGTAGAGGCTTTCGTGTTTGCAGGAAATTGTCATTGAATTTAGCTTTTTTTAAATTTACACATTGCTCAGTACCATTCATTTTAGTTTTGCACATAGTGGAAAAGATTAATGCACTTTAAACAGGTTTTGTAGGATTCCAGGCTCTGGGAATAGACTCTCGATCAGGGAGTAGATGTCGGGCCACTGAAGTTTTGGTCATCTATCCACTTAACTGAAGCAAGCCGTACGAGTCATTAAGACTTATTAACCAATGGTAATTCAGCAGCTTGTTTTAGTCACTTGGTGATAAACTGTTGTACACCCAGATTTGAATGTTGCAACTACAAAATGCACGTGAACTACAACAAGCCAGTTGGTTTAAAAGTGCCGGCTCGTATCCACGAGATGATAGCCAAATAATCCAGCTCTAGACGATGAAATTAGTTCTCTGCATTTAACCCGTCACACACCCAGGTGGAGCAGTGGGCAGCTGTGCAAGCACCCACAGAGCCATTACTCAATGACACAAATCTATGGCAGGGAGTTTACCCTGTGATTCTCTGGTCTCAAGTCAGCTGCCTTAACTTTACACCAGGGCTTGCCAACTAAACTGCTCGAGGGAGACCACAGGTCAAGACCAGTTACAAAAGGCCTAAACATTTAAATGCAATGGATCCATTTCAGTGCACATTAGTTAGTTAAAAGTAAAAATTTTATTTAAAGACATTAAAATAGATTTAACACTTATTGGTTACATTAGAAATTTGCAGTAGTCTGCTGCAGCTTGATCCTGGTCCAACCAGCCTCTGAGGAGCAGCTGAAGGGATCTGAAGCTGTTGGACAGTTGGTCACCTTGTTCTAATAAGTAGATTACAGCCGTCTGATAGCAAAGCCACCAAAGTTTGCAGGGATCTCGTAAACTGTAGCCAAGGAAAAACCCTGACCAGGAGCTCCCATGGTGCGGCTCCTGGGGACAGCCAGATCCTGACTGGTTTTGTAGGTCTGCAGCCAGCTTTTGGGTCTGGATCCTCCTTGATGCCCCATGGCAGGTTTCCAAGCCTGGGTGTGAGGAGAGAACCTCCTGGCCTTCTGTCCTTCAGATCTACGATTTGATAACACCCTTTTAGCAGGACCACGAGCGTATGTCTGCATCAGTGCAGAGCGTCCACGTTGTCCAGGAGCATCTGGGCCGAACAGACGAGAAGAGGAGCCCACCTCGCTGAAAGGCATTTTAGCAGCAACCCTGGAAGGTTGACGTGGTGCAGGAACAGGTCTGGAGGAAAACATCTGCCTGGGAGCCAAAACAGGATACTTGATAGGACGCTGCGTTCCCCACAGAGCAGACCAATTTCTGCCGATTGAGGGGTTCTTCTGGTTCTGAGGACCACCAGCAACAGAAGAAAGGCCCAACGACTGCCTTGCTCCTATTGGAGCATCAGCCCTGGGTGAAAACAGCCTTTGCCTGTTTGCTTTGAATGCTCTGCTCTTCACCAGTCTGACTGAACTCTGGGCTGGCTGGGAAACTGGTGTGGAACTCCAAGTGGAGAGTCCTGGCCCAAAACCACTGGGGAATGCAGGACCAGTGTTGAAGCTCCTGCTCTGGAACGAGAGTGGAGAAATGAAGCCTTGTCTGACTTGATTCTGGGGATGGCTGCCAGATGTGATCAGGCTGCCATCTGGTGGTGGGAGGCCAACATATGTGTTGCTGCTCTGGAAGCTCTGAGCTGGAGGAGGAGGAGGAGACAACATGAGTCCACTGTGGTGGGACATTGGACCAACAGCTGACATTCCTGTTCTTACCTCCTTCAGTCCAGAGACAACATACATGCTCTGCTTGAACCAAGAACACCACCAAGATCCTGTTCAGGAAACAAAACAAGAAGGTTAGAAAGAAAAGAGGACGTTTGAGTTAAAGCAACAACAAACGCTCACCCCAAACCAAGTCCACAAGTCATTTCTGGATCTCTGCTCAAGGACAAGCCTGCAGCACCTGGTTCTGTGTGTGGTACACAAGTGATGTGGTATTTATTGGAACCTGGAGCCAATCACTGCTCAGTGATTTGATTGTCTGCAGGTGCTGAGGTTCATCTCGTTTGTCTCAGTTTTATGATTCATTCAAATAATAGACAATGCAATACTCTCCAACCCTGTCAAGAAAAAGTAAAGAAACAATTTAATAGTTTTGGATGGATAATCCTGGATAAAACTAAAGATATAGGAATAAAACATTTTCCAATTAGTCCTGCTGTTGCTATTCCTGTCGTCCCACCATGGGTCCTTGGACAAATCAAAGTTGATTTAAATTTACTGAAACCAGGGAGATAATTAGAAAGTAATGAGGTGGAAAGATACATAGGAAGGGAGTACTTAGAATATATATAAATTTATACTGATGCATCTAAAATGTTAAATAATAGAATTGGTGGTAATTCCAGAATTAAATATGAAAAATAAAAGAATAGCTGATAATTTAACAGTATATACAGGAGAATTATTGGCAATATTTATGGCTTTAGAGTGGGTTGAAAGAATTAGAGGGGAAAAGGTTGTAGTTTGTTCAGATTCAAGTAGCGCATTAATAAGTATTCAGGATTCAAGGCAAGGCAAGATATTATACTGGAAATAGCTCAATTCGTTTTCGGGATTAATAATTATGTGTCAGAGATTAAACTAATATGGATTCCTGCACACATGGGAATAATAAGAAATGAGTTGGCTGACCGTTTTGCTAAAAGTGCTGCTATAAAGAATATGTGGATTTAAACGTTCAAAGAAGTAAAAACAAGGTTCATAATAAAACTATATATTAAGAAGAAATGACAAGAGCATTGGGATAAAGGAGACAATGACTGATTTTATTATATAAAAAAAAAGGAGGGAATTCAGAGAATTTAATAGAACAAAAAAGAAGAAGAAATTATTTCGAAGATGAGATTTGGTCACACGGGATTAAACAGAACACTGACAATAATCAATAAACATGTTACAGGCTATTGTGATCATATTGTGGACATATTTTCTTAGAATGCAATAAATATACAAAGAAAAGAGAGGCATTAGTTAGAGACTTAAATAAAAATAAAAGTAAATTAGAGATAAAGGAATTGCTGCAAAGATCTGGGGATAACATTTTTACCAGCATATTTGGATATTTGAGAAGAACAGGTAATTTAGAAAGGATATAGTGTGTAAAGTGGTGTAGCATCTGGTCCATCCTCCAATCCAGAAGGTGGCGGTAATGCACCTAAAAGTTGTTTTCCAACCGCCATTAAAAAACAAGAAGAAGACCGTGCAATTTTATCACATGTTGTAAATGTTCACATTTTGCTTTAATTTATAGAGGACCTTCTGACATTTAAAATGCTTTCTACACCATCTCACCCCTTTATGAACTTATTAACTGTACTTATTAAGATTTGTTTGTGTTTGACATCAGAAAGTTATTTTAATGTATCTTGAGAATCACATCTGATAAAGATGTCAAACAGTATTTGGACTCAGCTTCTTATGTTTTTAACTAAATTTACTCCTTTCAGGTCAGAAACGATTTCAGATTTTTAGACAGTTTTTAGACTTTTAAAAGTCATAACCAAGGAATCTAAATGATCACTTTAATAAAATCTGTGAGAAAACTCATGTTAGTTGAAGATGTGGCCTGTACTTAGGTTTTTAAATGTTTGTGTTATTTCCTTTTTGTTTTACAGAAACACTTTAGCTGATATTTTCCTGCTTGTTGAAAAGGTGAGTTTATTGTGGTGAAGTGGTTTACAGCTTGAGAGACAAGGTAAATCTAAACTTGAGTATTATAGGAAACATTCACATTTATTATTAACAAATATTCTCATTTACATCCAACACGTTTGACTGTTATTTCTTCTATGAAGTACTGAAAATTAAAAACATGTTATGTAAAGCAATTAACACATTTGGGATGAAGATGTTTTAATTGACATAACTTTAACATCCATTCGTCTGCAGGATTTCATTCTTTCCATTTCTCATTATCGTAGTTAGAAGACTATAAACAGGATTATGGAACTTTTACCAGCTACTTACTACAATAAATTATTTTTTACATTTTGTCTACATACATTTATCTAAATTCAAGTAAATTCTGTCTGACACATTCATAAAAGACCATTTTATGTCATATATTAAAAAGCAGGCAGTCCATGAAAGCTTTTTGTCTCCTTCTGCCAGCAGAGGGTGAGCTTGCCTTCCAGATGTTGTGCCTCTCTGCTGACAGTGGGGTGGAGTTGGTGGGATGTGAATTTTTTTTCAAGACAACTCCCTTCATGCTGTACTTTTCACAAACTCATCAACGGTCCGTCTGCGAGAGGGAACATCTTGGACTGAAGCTGTAAATGCTCTTCTCTGGAAGATGCTGTTCATGAGCTTCACTTTAACAGCTTTGGGTGAGTCGAAACTTTTAGTTTTTGTTTGGAAAAAAAAATTGCTGGGAGCTTGCTGGTGAGGAATCCCATCTCCAGTGTTTCCCACCAGCAGCAACACATATAATGAAAATCACATGCACGGTGTTATTCACACTTACCCATTACAATTGTTTTGATCTTTTTATTTGTCTTTCTGGATGTAAAAAATGAAAACTGAACAGAACATAGTGATGATTTTACTGACGCTGTCCTCTCGCAGCCCTGTGGAGTCCCGTTTGGACACAGGAGCCAGAGTTTGCAGATGTGTGCACAGAGGGCAGCTGTTACCCCGCCACAGGTGACCTGCTGATCGGCCGGGCGCACAAACTCGACGCCTCCTCCACCTGCGGCCTCCATCAGCCGGAGCAATTCTGCATCGTGGGACACCTGGAGGTAAAAAAAAATAAATAAATAAATAAAAATGCTGCTTCTGCTGGAAACTGAATATAAACGTTCAGATTTATTCAAAGTACCGGTAACTCCAGTTGTTATCAGAAGGGGGAAAGCTTTGAGCAGCTTGGAAATGGTTGTTATTTACAACCGTGAGAAAGTCTTCCAGATGTTCACTGCCTTAGATGTTCACTGCCTTAGCTGTTCACTACGGTGGCCCTAAGGTGTAAATGAACATTTGAAAAACCTGAATTACATTTGAAAAAAAAACAACAAAAATAACAAAATCACAACAACATTAGAAAAAAACAGAATTACATTTGAAAAAAACACAACAAAAATAACAAAATCACAACAACATTAGAAAAAAACAGAATTACATTTGAAAAAACAGAATCACATTAGAAAAAACAGAATTGCATTAAGCCAAAGCAGAAGTGTAATGTAATTCTGTTTTTTCTAATGTGATTCGGGCCACTTCCGCTTCGGCCACTTCCGCTTTGGCT